GTGTGTGTGTGTGTGTGTGTGTGTGTGTGTGCGTGTGTGTGTGTGTGTGTGTGTGTGTGTGTGTGTGTGTGTGTGTGTGAGGATCTGGTCTCACAACAGGGAGGCTTTCCCCCACTGGAGTAATGTTTTGAAGTGGGTGGGCCAGGTCCTGAAGAAACTGTTAAAACRACGTCATATTTCCTGATACGGCGCCACTTGCAGAGAAAAGAAACTTTGTGGTTGGCCCAGTGCCATTATTYTTGCATTTAAYATTCAAGTCTATTTGGTATTTATGTCTGGTTGTTAACACGCAATGGAGTAAACTGAACACACTTTTCTTTTCACTGTAAATCAACCTAAATYATGCATTAATTGTAACGGCAAGCCATTTTCATATCAAACTTTTTCTTCTTTAAGTGAATCATGTCAACCCCATTCATACATTTACCTGTGACCTAAAAATCTGTCATTTTTGTAAAGCATTCTTATCACCCACGGTGGGGCAGGCAGACTGTCAGCAGCAGAGATAACAGTGTCTGCAGTGCAAAGCAGGACAAGGAAAAGTGGATAACTTATTTCTAGTGACAGGACGGTTGGCGTACTGGTTGGAAGGTGTTTTTTTATTTAATTTATTGACATTTATGTCACCCATGGTCGTACAGTCACTAGCTGTAGCAACCAACAGGAGGCACAGCATTAACATTAACTGCAGCCGTTATTTCTTCCCATTCCTCTGTTTCAGCAGGTCCTGTAATTCCACAGCTGACGCTGCTAAAAATGACAGATTTTCTTGTCTGGATCTCTGAAAGCAGGACTTCAATCTCCAAAATTGTGAAGTTCTTCCTTTTACTTTTTGCTGTCATTTTCATGAATGAACACTTCCTGGTATGTGGGGCAGGAAGCGTAGCCGTATTTGGTGTTATTGGGGTGGTAATTATGCTAATTTCCTCTCCTCGTGCACGAGCACCTTAACATGTACAGGTGGCATTCATCATGTTTATGCTCCTCATTTACACACTTTTTCTGAAGTTAGAAGAGTTTGCTAAATCTGACATGGTATGTTCGTACAAGTCCTTGTACAAAAAAAGTAAGAGAAATTTGGGGTGAGTATTAAAAGTGTTCTTGCACGAGGTCCAATGACTCTCATCTGGCCTGGGAACAACTTGAAATCCTCCCAGAAGAGCTGGAAGAGGTGGCTGTGGAAAGAAGTCTGTACCTCMCTGCTCCAACTGCTTCCCCACGACCTGGCTCCAAATAAAGCAGAAGGTAATGGATGGATGTTGTCAGTGTGCCATGTTTCTGTTAAAAGCCAATACACCACACTCGAAATTTGTAGCGGGCTCCAGCAGCTTGGCTCATCCAGCTTGTTTTTGAGATAGCACAGGTTGCAGAGCATTTTTGTCAGAAGCAGCTTGACAGCTCCGCCTGCCTTTATGCCACCTTTCTTCACTAGTTTCCTGGGTTTCCTTGTGCCTCTGCATTGGTCTGGTTGGTAGTACGACTCCAACTCTTTCTGCACATCACCCAGCAGRTCTGGTGATGGTAGAACTCCGTGGTCCCTCATGTCTAGCTGTTCAACCTGAACACTAGCTCGCTGTAGCAGGCAGCCCTGTCAATCAGGCAGTGGGCTATCTGACCTGACAGCACTAGCCATGTTAATGGCAACATATCCATGTGAGTCCTTTTTTTTAGCTCCATACATAATTCAAAGCACAAATTAGACTCGCTGGATATATTGCAAGTTTAGTCTACATTGACATGCGGCAGACAGGACAGGACAGCAGTCCTATGTAAAACATWCAAAAATCACTCTAAGTTATACAGTGGAAAACACAACATGACATAAAATGCTCTGCATGGACCAGTTTGTTGTAAAACTATGTTTCACAAATCCTTTCTTTTCACTGTATGAGGCAAAAGTGGCCTACAGCATTTAAATAAAGCATCCACAATATTGTGTACTATTTTTAAACCAATGAGGGGGTAATTAACTCCTATAGTGTCCCTGACCTGAGCTTAGAACCTTAGCTGCCAGAAAGCTTCCCCAATTCACTTTCAATTTCCTTAAGTGCTGCAAACAGTTTGCTTGTTGTTGGTTTTTATAGACTTTCTAATCTTAGGACTATCAAGTACTTCACACAAAATCACCTTTAAAAAAACAAACAAAAAAAAATACCTTATTAGGTGAAAACTAAGTACTTTGTTTTGATAATGTAATTAAATATGTTGCTAAAGACTATAATAAATTACAGTAACATTTACTCACATTCAGTCCAAACCAGGACCTGTGGGATTTACTGTATAATCATAATTGATCTGTGGAGGTTACACCTCTCAGCTTGTAGGATAAAGATCTTAAATGGACCATCAAACCACTCTGTTTTYCCATGTAAAATAATTTGGTTAACACATACACAAAAGATGCAGCATTTTGCTGGACAGTATTTGARATGATCGATAACTTGGCTACTAGAYGTCAGTAACTGTTGTTTCTTTAATAAAATCCAAAGTTGTGGATATTTTTTTAAATGAAAAAACAATAGGTACTCACAATCCATTTCATCAATRGGTATTTGTCCAAAAATGTGTAGAAAGGGTCTGTAGAAAACTCTGCGGAATATCCAATTAGGTCGAGGATCGTAGGAGAAAAGAAGTGTTTGATTGGCAACTCCATAAGCCAGAAGCCAAATACCAAGGAAGAAAAGAAAGAAGAAGACATCTTTCATCTGMGGGAAACAAAAAATACAACAGTTATAAAAATGGATGGACTTGTCTTGCTGTTAAGGTAAAGTGTTYCTAAAATAAGCATCCCATTGTAAAAAATAATGCACTGTTCAAAAATGRCATGTCTAAACAAAAGCAGGACCCACTGGATYTCTTTCAATTCTTTATTCTCGTCTCTGACTCCARTCAGGTGCAGCACAGCACTCAGCACAGGCTTCGTCATAAGGCTTTGATSGCATAACAAGAAAACTTTAACAAAMGCAGTCCAGTCTGTCCAGACTGGATCTATGCAGAGGCTCTGCAAAACACCTCTAACTTCTATAATGATGAATTGACCTTGTATTTCTCTTCCTATTTACAACCCTGGAGGTGGTACTTTTTACATCAGRCATCAGAACGTAACTTTTGTTTATGTWGCAGAGAGAACACACTGATAAGACACACAAACTCTCATTCTCTGTTTTAAATCTTAAGGTTGCAATGATCAGAAAGTACAAAATACAAAACTGCATCAAACATTTAGTTAATCATTTACAACATTTCCKTCACCATATTTAAAATGGAACCTTTAATTTCAAAAGCAGTTAAATTGTTTCATTTGAGTTTAGTTTCACACTCTGACATGCAAATATTTTTTCACATGCTGTAGTTCCCACTTGTCACAGTAGAAGTACATTATCCTCATCTCCTAAGCTCCCACTTAACTGAAAATTCAAATAGAAGAYAAGTCAATTCAATGAACTTTGTGCTGACTAACACTTTGATGTGCTAGAGGTTTCTGTTCCTCTGATCTTTGCGTTGTATTGTTCAGAAGTTGTTTTGTTAGTTCTGTGTTCTTACCATTTTTCCAACTATGATGATTTTGGGTCCAAGCTGTTTGTGGACAGCAAAGATGTGGATAAGACGTAGAGTGAAGACCATGTAATCAATGGCCATAACCGCTCGCCCAAACTGATATGACCAGGGAAACATTCTGGAAGAGAAAAGCAGTCAATCAAGAGTCATACTTTCTCCCCAAGCTAAGACACCTGTTTTACATCAGCAACATTTGCACTGTTGGRCCACATAAGTCCATGACAGGGTCCACAGAATCTCCCGTCATGTCCAGGGGATTAATCAGGGTTGGATCAGGCAAAGGTCAAAAGGACAGAATTTTTGGTCTAATAACTCTTYTTGGACCACACGGGGCAGACTCCACAGCTGCCCACAGAAATGCATCTCAGAAAGCTGAAATTTATATGTCTGACATGGCATTTTGATATATTTTCAGTTTTTAAAYAGTCACAGTTTACAATCACTATCAGTGTTTAAATTCTGAATGATAATTCTATTAAGTCTGAGTTACAGAGCTCCAAAGAGGGCGGGGCGACTCATGTTTTGCCCAAATTCCACTAACCTCTTTTATTGTTTTTCCCTCTTAGTATTTGCAGATTTTGTCTACATTGCACAATGTACTACTGCCAAAAGTCATAGTACACAAGCTCTGATCGAGCCACAAATTTCAGTGTTTAAGTTGCATATGTTATTTCAAAGCAGTTCAACAAGATCAGGACAAAAAAAATACAGTAAATGTGCTTCAATTATTTTGCACTGGCACCTTTTAATAAACTTTTTTGTCTCTCAGCAAATATGTGGACAAACCTGTACACCAAGGTCAGCGGGGCTCAATTGAGATCCAAAAGTGGTTTTTGGATCAGAGCTTYATGTCCCAGAAATAAAGCTTCCACTGTCTCTGATATAGACCAGCAGGAACTGGCCTAATAATGTCATTATAATCTTATGAACTGTATATAGATATACAGATATAAAAGTCCAATCAAACAGGTTTGAAAACCAATCTGCAAAGACACCTGACCCACTTGCTACAGTGATTCTTGCCTTGGGAYTGTTTGTGTAAGAACAATCACCTGCAGCATAGAGCCAAAAGGAAGAGAAGAATAGCCGTGAGATCACATTTGTTCCAGACATCTTCAATGTAGTTTTTCATTCCTTGTAGTACAAATGAGCTGCTCACAAAGAAGGTCTGTGACTGAAAGGCAGAGGAGAATGCACAACTGTTAACATGCAAAATGAAAACTGCTACTCTTTATCCCAGTAGCTGCTAACTCAAATATAGTAATGCCTGTGACACAAACAAACAGTTAGTCATTGTGTATCCAGGTGTTAAAACCACCAACCTGTCGAATCTCTTCACATACTAAGGTGAAAACCCAAAAGTAAAGCACAGCTTCCAGCCAGGATGGGCCGTCAGGAGGCGGGGGCTTGAAGTCCACCAACAGAACGTAGGCAAACAGGCAAAGGAAGAGGAAGTACATCAGTACATTCCCCAGGAACGAGGTGACAGGTGCATACCAGAACTGTCTCCATCTTGACACAATAAAGGGTCTCTTAGATTTTTTTGGTAATGGAGCTGGTAATAAAAGACACAACAGAGTCCAAAACAGACTGAGTCAAACAATTATAGACAACAACAGAGCTGATGTCATCCTTGTGCCATATCACCATTATTCTACATTGTTAGATTGTACAATTTATACCAGTGATTGTTAAACAGAGGCAAAAATATTATGCCCGTATTACAACAAACCTAARACYAGTGGTGTCCTGATACTGATTTTKGTATCAGTAGAGGACACCACTACTGATATTAGTATTGGAACCAATAYCAGCATTTTTACAAGCACTTGCACAAAATGTCATGTTACTCTGAACCACTGTATATTTGACCTGCTAAACACATTAATGTGTTAGTTTGATGAGATCMCTTTAGCCCTGCCCACTTTACACCTGTTTTGCTCTATTCAACACATACATGACCGGGGCTGTATTTATCAAACTTCTAGAAYGCTGCTAAGATCACTTTAGCCCCACCCACTTTGCACATGGTTGGCAGTAAAACAAACAGGAGACATCCACATTAAGAAGGTGGCTGACCCTGCAACCATGTCCTTCCTTGCAGATCATGTTTTAAAATGTAACAATCTTGTTACGGAGCACTGCCATTCATTGGTACTGGGTTTGACCCATGGCTCCCTTTTTGTGTGAAGTTTGTATGTTCCTTCTGTGCATGWATGGGTTTTCTTTGGTAACTTTGTTGTCCTTCCATAGTCCATAAAACTAAGATTTGTTTAAGTGATGACTTTAAATTGAGCCTAAGTGTGAGTTTATGGCTGTTTGGTTCTGTGTGGCCCTGTGATGGACTAGGGGATGTGTCCAGGTGTACCCCCACCCGTTACCTACTGACTGCTGGAAACAAAATACAACTGTTTTACAATAATATATATGTTGACAGTATTGAAATAAAATACCTTAAATACTTGTCTTGTCAGAGCAAAAACTCCCAGTTTTTATAAGTGATGTGACATCTATACAGTTCATACACCTGACCACATAAAACACTGAACACAGACCCAAACCTACCCCGTACGTTTTCCTTCAGCGATCTTAATTCTTCTAGATCTTCCTCACTGCAATAACAAATAATACCAAAGTTGTACTAAAAGTGAAAAAAACAAACAAACGTGGTGATGAAGATTTGGTTTTTACTTTGGTATTTCAGAGAGTGAGAAGGCCGTAGCATCATTTCCGTTGAYGCTATCATTGTCATTGTCATCGTTTTTGCTGTTGTGGATTGCCAAAGGATTTACCTGCTCTGGTTCCCTGTAACATGAACACACATCACATACTAAGATTTTTGTTTGACCAAACCATTTCCAAAGAATATAGGGACCAAAAACCATCTAAGCAGACTCTACAGTGGTGATGGACACACCTCCCCATTTTTAAACACACACTGATGAGCAAATATGAAAAACAATAATACCGCATCATTGCAGGACAACAAGAGAATCCTGACCTGAAATGGATAAGGTTTGTGTAGATGAGAGGGGGTATGAAGAAGGTGAGAATCAGCTTCCAGACATCTGTACTCCTCGCCATATCACCCCACCAGATCTGAGTCAGCAGAAACTAAAGTAAAACAGCAAGAGGTCAGTTAGTTTCACTGTCTGATCTGCCAAAATTTAAGCAAATTTGAAATTGGAAGGGGATCAGCATCCCTATAGGCTGGCTTCAACACACATTGTAAGTTAAACATGTTAACAAGTAATAAAAAAAAATAGCAGACACAATCCATTTAGCATGTTTGTCTTMATGAATATGCAGAATTTATGATGATTATCAGAATGTGCAAAATACTGGGAAGAGGAAATGCAAATATAATAATTTAGTGCTACGGTTATATTAATTTTACTGGGATTTATCAAACCTGAAGCTGCTGATTTTGCACCCATGTTTAGCAGGTTTGAAAGGCAAGTGCAACCTAGCTGCACTGTTCCACCATTATCTGCTCCCCTCTGCTGCTGCAGTGTGTGAAGTAAAAACTAGCTCACTTATATAAAAAAAGACATTTGACTGCAGCTTAACAGTTTTAAAAAATATAACATAAATATACAACCCCAATTCCAATGAAGTTGGGACGTTGTGTAAAACATGAACATAAACAGAATTCAGTAATTTGAAAATCTTTTCCAACCTATATTCAGTTGAATACACAACAAAGACAAGATATTTAATGTTCAAATTGATGAATCTATTTTTTTTTGCAAATATTCACTTATTTTGAATTTGATGCCTGCAACACGTTGCAAAAAGCTGGGAAAGGGGCAACAAAAGACCTGAAAAGTTAATGAATGCTAAAAAAAAATTTACCTGTCGGAGSAYTCCACAAGAGAACATGTTAAMTGAAAACAGGTGAGTGTTATAATTGCATCCTTTTGAAGGCTCAGTCATTCACAAGCAAGAATGGGGCAAAGTTCACTAAATAACTGTGTGAGCAAATATTCCCAAGTGTTTAAGAATGTTTCTCAATGTACAATTACAAGGAATTAAAGGAYTTCACCATCTACAGTYCATAATATCATCAAAARAATTAGAGAATCTGRACAAATCTCTGCAAGTCAGCAACAAGGCCAGAAACCAACACTGAATGCCCGTGACCTTTGATCTCTCAGGTAGTATTGCATTAAAAACCAACATCATTCTGTAAAATATATYACCACATGGGCTCAGGAACACTTCAGAAAACCATTATCAGTGAACACAGTTTGTCTCTACATCTACAAGTGAAAGTTAAACTCTACTATGCAAAGACAAAGACAGATATCAACAACATCCAGAAACACCAAACCAACCCAAACACCCTACAAAGGAAGCTCAGTTCAGGTACTTGGATCCAGGTCCTGGCTTTTCCATAATTAATTATACTCTATGACCAGAGAGGAGGGCTGGGTCGTAGACAGACCAGTAACATCATCATCCTGCCATCACTTGTTAACTAGAGTCTCAGAAACTTGTACTCCTCAAGTTGAGACTAAAGTCTGTCCTCTAAAGGAACAGTCCACCTTTTTCCAGAATGAAACAAGGACAAAACCAATCATTCATGTTGTCTGATAAAGGTTCAGATACCTGTGATTGTATTTGGATGGATGTCCACCACAGCATGGGAGAGCTGAACTGAGCTGAGATAATATTAATACAGAGGCCTATAAAAGAAGCTTGAACAGGATCATAAAGGTGAAATAGTTTGTTGGGAAGTCCATGATTAYATCAGGAGGCATGAATTAGAACAGCATGGCTCACGACCACAAAGAAGTTCAGTTCCGTCATCAGAAAACAGAGAATCAGACAATAATGTTAATAGTCTGTGCAGCTGAAACCTTCTCTTCTTTTGAAATTTTATTGATCTTTTCCCCCATACAGAGCCAGCTCACAAGACATATTAAGCCACTTTACAGAGAAAACTCAATTTAAGATTTTTTAAAAATATTTATATACTTTACTGATCCCCTTGTGGAGAAATTAACTGCATTTTTACCATCGCAYATGTGAGCACAAGTGGAACAGTGGGCTGCTATTTTTGAGGCTCCCATGGAGCAGCTGAGGGGTTAAGGGCCTTGCTCAAGAGTTGAGCTGGTCAGTCTGCGGAACTGAATTGGTGACCTTCTGATCACAGGCTCACCTTCTCTAACCTCTGGAATAAAGACTAAACACTGATTCATCTTACAAAACCCTAACTGAAACATTTTTTTTAGTTAAATCTAATTTCATAATGTCAAAGAAAATAAAGTTGTAAACAGTAATTATGCTTTTCTGTGTTATTCATATCAAGCTCCAGATTTATAATTTCAACTATAAAAAAGTTGATCAGTAGCATACAGAAAATGAAATCTTTTCCCATGTGTTTATCTGTTAAAAGAAAAAAAAAACCTAGCCAAAATGATAGATTGAATAACTTTGCAGTATTACTGAAAAACTTTCCATGTTTCTGGGAGATTTTTCATCTATCTTCACCTTCTCAGTCAGTAAAATGAATCAAATAATACTTTATCTATTCATGAGGGGCAACATTTCTACCTGAACTCCGTCATGGCTGAAGAAGAGGCGGGCGTCAGCTTCTATGGCCATCTGCAAACATGTAGCTCCACCCCAAACAGAAGACTTCCTAATGAGGAGGGTGAAGGAGCGACTCTCACTGCTCCGGTAACACACACTGAACACATCTAAACACACACAAAACACAAACTGGTCAAAAAGGGCAGCTGGGTCAAACCTAAAACTTAATAAAAAAACAAAACAAAACAAAATGCCTCAAAAAGTAGTCCAGCCTAATAAAGTAAATTACTTAATCACTTAGCTTATTGATTGTTCTGTACATTTTTCAACTATTTGAAAAATACCAGATCAAATACTATTTGAATCACTCAAAACACGCTGCGCTAGACGCGCTGCATCACTTCCCGACGCTACTTGATGCGCGACCACCATAGACTTTACATGTAAACCTGATGCTCTTTATGCTCAAAACACGTTTGATGTGAATGCAGCATTATTTCTGCTGAACGTTTCATGGCAATATCTAAAACTAACAAAATAAATGACAATTTTTGTAACAAGTTACAGCTCTTTAGATTAATTGTAAATTCAAGGACATTCATTCATCCAGAAATTTGAATTTTAAAATCCTTTATCTTATTTCAACAAAATATACATTTATATTACTTGAGATATTTTACCG